TGTGTTAACTTTAATTTCTTGGTTTCGAAAAGATTTTATTTTTAGAAACCCAATTCAAATCCCCCTTTCTTGTGTTTCTTGCACCTTCTTGTGTTACAATCACTAGTTTCACTATCATCTTGATCTTTAGTAGAGGACTTAGAGCTAGAAGTCATACGAGCAATTGACTTCTTGTCTGCTTCCTTTTCCTTGTTCTTCTCCTTTAGGTTCGAGGTTCTATTATACAATCCTTTAGGTTCAGAAGCCATAATCTAATAAGAAAATTCAAAGCACAAACCAACTCGTGCTCATGATTCAACTTGTTAAGCGATAGGAAACAATCTATTGGCGTGAATAGATCGCTAAAAATATTTGTTTGAAAAACTGGTTTAAAATCTTCAACTATGGCATGCGGAAGCAATTCCGGATCGATAATCGTCTATCCCGAACCGTTATTGAAAGGATCGGATATGCGTTAAACCGTATCAAAAAGGAATTCAAATGATGATAAAATAAACCAATATATTTTCAAATATAACGTTTGAATAAAATCGTACAATGATAATTGATTTCCAATGAAATATTAAACAAAAACTTGACTTAAACAATTTACCGAACACTTGGTGTGCAATTAATTCTAATCATATTTTTCTTTGAATTTGTTGGTATGAAAATCTAATTCTAATATTGTAGATTGCAATCAACTCAACAAAAACTAGTTTAAAATATTATTGACAAAGAAATTATCTCAATGTATTGATTGCACAACCAATGGATTCACAATTTGCAATGAGAGAGAGAGAGAGAGAGAGAGAGAGAGAGAGAGAGAGAGAGAGAGAGAGAGAGAGAGAGAGAGAGAGAGAGAGAGAGAGAGAGAGAGAGAGAGAGAGAGAGAGAGGGATTTTTTTAGGAAGTTCCTCAATCGTCCTTTCTATGGGTACGTCTTCCCTCAATTTCAATGAAATTGAGATATTCAATAATTCTTGGCAAAAGTTTGTACAAGCGAGAAATAGAAAATCCAAACCCCAAATTTAGAATTTGTTGTTGATTCTATCTTCTTATCTTCCCTTGATTTTGAGCTCGATCAAGTGTCCCAAGGTCTTCAATTAGATCCTCTGGTTACCGCTACTCCTTTGACATAACTCCCGTATTCAAAGCTTTCACTCATCTGAATCAGAATTGCAAGAACTTGTGCAAAACCTCTCAAATCAATCTTGATCTAGTAGGGAAAATATCAATTGATTTTATCAATGAAACCCCCAAATAATTCTCAACCTAATTTAATTACACCAATTCTAAATTGGACCTATCAATCTTATTTCTAGATGGATCCTAACAAAAAAGATTATGTGTAATTTTTGTGTGTATGCATAGAAAAAGGTTGAAGATGATGAGAAAAATTCTTTGTAAATTCTTGGTTTTACTACTCAGAAAAGATGCGTGAATGTATTTTTATGTATGTGTGTGTTAGAAATAAATAATAGAAAAATAGATTAGAGAGATTTACAAAAAATTTAAGAAATGAAACAGTATGTGTCGACCTATAGTATTCATGCGTCGATCTATAAGAGTAAATTTTCTTCTAAGTACATTATGTGTCGACCTGAAATGGACAAAAACATTTAGTTTTGAAAATATACCGTATGTGTCGACCTATAACACGCATGTGTCGAACTATATTGAGCAGAATGTAATTTTCTAAAAAAATGTTCTAGCATGTGTTGACCTAAAATACAGATGTGTCGACCTATAGAGCAAATTTGCAGCCTATGTGTCGAACTATATGATACATGTGTCGACCTGAAACTTTCAGAGGGTTTCTTTTTGCAAATCAAACATCATGTGTCGACCTATACATGTATGAGTCGACTTATACACTGAATTTCTACATAAAAGGTTGATTTTTAACTTGTAAAACATCTCTTACATGATTTTAAGTTTTCTAGTATGAAAATGCACATCTAAATTAGATACTAAGGTCCAATGTATAAATACTACCTAGTTTTAACATCATTCAAAATATCTAAAAGGATAGTGCACTCACATATATAATGTGTGTACCCGAAATAACAAGGCAGTAAGAGGCCTAAGATCTGAAATGCAACAACTGTTGAAGCTTTTGAAGGATGATCATTATGTTTCTACGAACAGATTTTGTGAGGATAAAGCCACAATTCAAGATATATTTTAGACTCATCCTAATTCTACCAAGTTGTTCAACATATTTCCTACTGTGCTCATAATTGATTCAATATACAAAACAAACAAGTATAGACTTCCACTCCTGAAAATTGTTGGTGTTACTTCTATTAAGATGACTTTTCAGTCGGTTTCACATTTTTGGAATCTGAAGAAGAGGACAATGTTACATGGGCTTTGGAGATGTGCAAGACTATATTGAAGGATCAAGAAAACATGTCAAATGTAATTATCACCGATCACGATATCATGTTGATGAATTTGGTTGCAACTGCATATCCGGACACACCTAATTTTAATTGTAAAAAAACAAAATTGAAAATTTTACGGATGTGTATCTCTGAACACACCCTTATTTTGTAAAAAAATAAGGCATGTCAGAATATACATATCTGAAATATGTCCTGATGATAGGATATGGTTTCTAAGGTCTAAATTGATCTCCAACGGGTATAAATAGAGGTCTCTCATTCTATATTCTTTACAAAAACTAGAATGAATACATATCTCCATCTTGCATTTGTGTATTTTAATGATGCAAACCCACCACTTTAATTTAGGATCTCGAAGGACATATTTCTCGTCAATCTCAAATTCAAACTGAATACTCTCCTGTGATATCCATAAAATCGGAGAGTTGTCAAGTTCGAGTATTGTTCACCCTCGATTGATAGCGAATGGAAGATACGATTCACCATGCTTGGACTTAAGACGAATGAGGATTTAAAGGTTACGTGGAGTACATTTTACTTTTACTCAACAAAGAATCTGATTGAAGTGGATGTGGTGACTACAAAATCGATCAAAGATATTCTAAGGATGTTGTAACGTCCTGAACTACCCGTTTGTAATGAAATGTAATGTTAAATTTATATTAACGCTAACGATTATCTATGTAATATTTATTTTCATGTTAATTCATGTTGTTTTTCTATTATTCTGCAATTGCTTCCGATTATTTATAGTTTAACTTAATAGAGTATATTTCAGAGATGCATCTCTGAAAAACTCGCTGAATATTAAATTAATGGTTGTTACAGAGATGTATCTCCTGACTCACTCTAATGTGTATACGGAGATATATCTCTAGACTAAATTTTAACAAAATAAGGGTATCTCAACAATTCCAGCTTACATGTGTGTGAAATAGTGCATCTGAAGATACATCTACGGATTTTAGAGGCATATGTGACTTTTCACTATGGTGTAGGAGAACCCTATGGGATAGGATGAGTATTGTCCAAACATAATGCCAACAACATATGAAGAGATTGGCTCTTTCTCTTTCTGAATTTTTTTTAATTTATTCTATCTCCAACCACAATAGCAATCATATCAATCATCTTTATCATTCTTGCATCTTGTTGAAGAAATCATTGTTGGCATGATGATTGTTGAAGCTCTTATTTTGCAACACATGTCTAACATGCACTCAACATGATCGTTACCACATGTTAATGTGGTTACTAAAATTTTAACTCTGGTTGGTGTTGACTTTTTCGGATGAAAAAAAGTTGTGTGCATTAGTGTTTATAAGGGTTTATTCGACCAACACACTCTAAATCAAAGCAGAGTGGTGAAACACTGATGACTTGCTTTTCGATAACTTTCCATCACCACCAGTTGACAAACTCTTTTGATACGATGATTATGCTTCAAGATATTCCTGCATGCATGCAGGGAAATACTTAGGCTATTGAAATCTTTCTCGATTCGAGAAATTAATCTTTATAGTTATGCATTATAGATACTCGATTTCTATTAAAAAAATCATTAAAAATTATATCATTAGTGTTATTGCATGGTCATTGTCGATGCGTGGTCATTAGATGTTCGGCAAAAAGAGTTGTGATGTATGTATTAAAGTAACACAAGACAAATCAACAAACTTCCAATTAGAAAGAATTTAAAATCAATGATTGAAAAAAGTAAAAACCGTACACACTTTAATTGTTTCGCATAACTGCAAAAATATTATGTTAGGTAGAGATTGGAATCTATAAATACATATTTTCTGTATTTGGTGTCAGTGAATTTTTCACTATGACTATTTTAAAACTAAAAAAAAAAAAAACTCTTAAATGCAACTAATGTAAAACATGTTCAACAATGAAATATGTTCAATAAATAACCTTTTAAATCTAAATATCCTTTATCAGTTTAACTAATATTGAATTAAACTCTATCCTACCTAGTCTACACTTCATGACATTATCTACTATATATAATATTTGTTTAGTAAATCAAATATCATCTGCACACAACTGTTGAGATTAATACATGATACCTGTTGTGTAAATCAAATATCATCTGCACGAAACTTGAACCATTTCATCCAACAGCTAATTCAGACAATTTATATGCCACATTCAAAGGAAGAAAAGAAACATCAAAAATTGAACTCACATTAAACGAAAAATTCCAATTTGAATTGCATTGTGATGTATTTGTTCATGACACTCTACAATAAAATGTCACTGTATTCCTAAAAGGCTTCTGTTTCAAGTAACCTTTTTGGAGTCAAAACCAAGTGATGAAAAAATGAAAGTAAATGGCAATCTATGGCCGCTATGTCTCGATGTAGACAGATAAAATTACACCTCAAAATCTGAAGCGTACTAGACTAAAAATCCAACACCAGAGCTGATCAAAGCACCAACTCTCCCGACTCGATCAATAAACAAATAAACCTTCCAAATGTCGTATAGTGTAAAGAGAGCGAAATTCAATGATAAAATTGCATGTTGCGAAGCCAAAATTTGTCGAAATTTGAATTCACGACAAATTTCCTATTTCCTATATGCTGGACAAATACTCACTTTCTATCTCCTCTTTCTGTGCCGCTTCTTGGGGGACAGAAAGACGGAGTCACGCGATTTCTGATGGCCGAAAACACTCTTCAATTTGCGTACTGATTCTTCATCATCGCTGACAATGTCATCAGCCGTGTGCCTGCTGTGGTATGCTCTGCGCTGCAAAAGATAGACATTGAAGTAGTAGCTGACTAAAGCTGCGCTGCTCTTATTAGGAAATGCGCGAAAAATATGATCCCAGAAATGTCTCGCAGATGATGGAGGGTTTGACTGTATCACTTCAGTGAATTTTCTCTCATCTTCATCCGTCCACAAGTGTCGAACATCTTCACCGACCTTATCAAATTGCCATTGGTAATAAGCCGCGCCTAACTCCAGCTTCATTTTAGCCTTTCTCTCAGAAATGTGAAATCTGACACAGTCAATAGAACCCGACACAGCGCAGCCACATGATTCTTGTCTTCCTTTTCCTATAGGATCCCTTTCAATAAGAAATCGAGAATCAACTGGTTCCAACGTTGGCCACACTTGGGTCCCAAACCACTTAGGATCACTTTCGTAAGCATTACCAGTCCACTCTGGCAGTCGAGCTTGATAACTTTCCCCCACACAGATGCATGCATCAGCCCATATCTCATAACTCGAAGGGGTACTCGCGGAATCACGCAAATGTTTCGCAACACGTTCGTCAGAGGATGAATTTGATGAGCTTTGTGAAGCTGATCTTGGTTTTTCAACCAACAGTTTTTTGTCATGTTTCAGCCTCTCCCTTAGATTGTAGGCTGTCGCAGCGGCATCATCGTACAAGCAAGGATGCATCTTCTGATTCTGCAATATCACAAGAAATTTAAAATTATACAGGCATTTCAATGTAGATACTTACTGGATCATAATTTAACCTGCAATTCAATGTATGATGTTCCAAAAAGGGCCCATAAATGCATAAGTTAGCCATGCTTTAAACAAAAAGGGCCCATAATGGTGACAAATGACAATGCTTTAATATAAATGTAATCATAATAATAACAATATAAGACATTTTAATAGTAAAGAAACTGAATAATTCACACAAAACATTAACTAACTAAAAACAAGATATTAATAGATTCAGATACTGTTCATAAACTGATAAAGAAGAATCACAAAATCAAATCATAATTAACAGTTTGAAGTAGCTAACTGCCAAAAAGAAAGATTCTACAACATGATTGTCTCGGAAGAAAACAAATGACAAGTGACCCCACACCAAATTTGTTTTCCCCTCAGCAAACCAAATGAAACAGTAACAGTTAGCATGAAAACTTGTGAATAAAAATGAAGCAGAAGTCCACATTAACACATGAAAGCACAGATACCTTAAGAAACTGAATAAATTACATGTAGCATGTAAGTGAACAAGTAATATTAATGGCACAGAACAAAAACAGAATGAAAAATATAGTATAAATTCGTAGAAATCTTTTACTATTGAGTCGACTAAATTTCATCAAGCATGCATCAACAGCGCGTGCATTTATTAAAGGAATTTAAGTTCAGCGAACTCAGCTTAATAGCATCGTTTTATAAGATTACCTGCCAATTCAGCTTTTCAATGCTTGCCGGTTTCTTGTGAAACGCAGCCTCTCGAAACAACAAAACCTGCTTCCAAGGCTCCTGATTATTGTAAGAATTCCACTTCGACTTTTCAGGCATGTCACCAATTTCAGGATCACAAGGGTTACTCGCAACACGAGTAACCCAACTCATCATATCAGACAAAGACTCTTCTCTCTTCCTCTTCAATCCAGAAACTCTTCCACTACCGCTAGATGAATCTGAGTCAATGATAATAACATCATCCAGATCACCATTACTACCCTCGCCATTCAACAATCCAGACTCACCACTCTTCACCACATTCTTCGCAACATCGGTTTCACCCTTAACCTCATCTCCAACCCCCACATTCTCCGTCTGATCAGACAACAACGCTTTCACCTCAGCCAACGATTCCATCAAAACACTCTCATACGACACCTTCCCAGAACAAAGTTTCTCAAGACACCCCTCCAAAACACTCTTGTACTCAGTATAAACCCGTTTCAGAGACAAACCATCATTCACACCCAACCCACATTCTTCCCCAACCGAATCCCACAACTCTCGATCGCAAACAACCTCGTACCCGCCTTTACCCTTAACCGCGTTAAACAGCTTAAACAAATCAACCTTCCGTCCGTCGTCAAGCATTGGTAAAAAAACAAAACAAAACAAACAATGAAAGCAATCTTTAGCAAAAAATCTCCTTCAAAAAACACAGCAATGAAAACCTCCAAACACCAAACACCACTACCTTCTACAAGAACAGCACCTTCGTAAAACAGCTACCACCCTGTCAAGAAAATCGAATTCAAACCCTAGAACAAATAAATAACCAAGTTCAAAATCATCCATTTCTTTAAACAAAAGAAAATTAAAAATTATTATTAATCCCTTTTTACGAACTTTTCTTTTTACGAATTAATCGATGAAAATGAGTTTACGGATGAGAAATTGGCACCGATTAAGATTCTGGGTTCAGCTCAAAATTGAAGTTTGGCGGGAAAATTCAGATGGGTAAGATCTGATACTAGTTAGGGCTTTTTTTGAATGAAGCTTTCTCTGTCACCTTTGTGTGTGGCCAAGAGAAAAAAAAAAGATTTCATTTCATTTCACATCTGGCACTTTCTCTCTCTAGAATATAGATTTTAATTGCAGAGAGAGAGAGTGTGAAAGAGGGGTGAAAATTCAATTTTTCAACAGAAACAGACCCTAGTCTGAAATTATTTCAATGGAAGTAAAAAAGAAAAGAAAAGAAAAGAAAATGAAAAAGAGAAACATACCAGTTTTTCTAGAGAGGAAAATAGATGGACCCCTTGGAAATGAAATGGAATTGAAAATGAAACTTGTGTGACTTCTTGACTTTGGTTTTTTATGTGCTTTTAAAACTAAATCTAAATTCTTATTTTTGGTTTATTTGATTTGGGGGAATTTAGAAGAGAATCATTTTCATAAAACTAAAAGAAAATGGAGATGAAGGGTTTGTGTGATATGAGAGATTGAACCACTCTTATATACTGGAGAGGGTTAATGAGTTAAGTTACTATGGTTAATAATTAACTAGACATAGGGTTGAGTTGAGATATTTTTACCACTGAATTATGTCTTTAGATAATCCAATGTATAATTAAGTTGATCATTCTTTTTCTGGTGAATTATGTGTTTAATAATTAGATGTGTGGTTAAGTTGAGGGTTATTTTTATTTGTAAATTTTTTTTAAATAATCATATTTATATTTAAGTTGAAGTTTTTTAATAGTGGGTTCTTTTTAGATAATGAGATTTTTTTTTGGATTGTTTTTTTTTTGGACTAGGGATATGTTTTTGGATTAATTTTTTTTGGACTATTTTTTTTGGGAGTAGGGAATTAAATGTACATTTAAGTTGAGTTTTTTACATTGGTGGATTCTTTTTTGATAATTAATGAGATGTAGGGTTAAGTTGGAATATTTTTACTTGTGAATTTTGTGATTAGATAATCAGATTTACAGTTAAATTAAGGTTTTTTTTGTGGATTATTTTTAGATAATCAAATTTTTTGTGACTATTTATTTTTTGAATTAGGGAATTATATGTACATTTAAGTTGAGTTTTTTTATTGGTGGATTTTTTTTAGATAATTAATGAGATGAATAGTTAAGTTGGAATATTTTTACATGGGGAATTTGGGTTTAGATAAGATGTATGGATAAGTTGAAAGTTTTTTACTGGTGAATTTTTTTATATAATCAAAAGTGTGGTTAAGTTGAATTTTTTTTACTAGTGAATTCTTTTTACATAATGTGATGTACATTTAAGTTGGGTTTTTTTATTTGTGAACTCTTTTTAGATAATTAGATGTATAGTTAAGTTGGGGTTTTGGTGGATTATGTGTTTAGATAATTAGATATATGGTTAAGTTGGAATATTTCTACGGGTGGATTATGTGTTTAGATAATCAAATTATATTAAGTTGAGAATTATTTATTTATGAATTATGTGTTTAGATAATTAGATTATAGTTAAGTTCACTGTTGGTGGATTGAGATTTTTTATTGGTGGATTATGTGTTTGGATAATCAAGGTGTATGATTAAGTTGGATAATCAGATTATAGTTAATTGGAGTTTTTTTACTTGTGTTTTTTTTTTGGATAATCAGATGTATAGTTAAGTTGGTTTTTTAGGGGTGGATTTTTTTTAGATAATTAGATTAGTTATGGTTTTTTTCTGATGAATTCTTTTTAGATAATCACTGTTCAAAATCACACATTTTAAATATAAAATAAATAATAATGAATCATGATGAAATGAGAAATTAAATCTTGAACATGTCTGTTTAGGATTTTTAAAAAATATTTTTGTATTTTCAAAAATAGATTTTACAAAATCGATTTTTAAAATATTACAAATTTTATATATTTATTTTTTTAAGTTTATAGACTAATTTTGATATCCTATAATATAGACATATATTATTGAAGATCGAAATATTGTTGAAATTATAAATTTTTTTAAAATTTATATTTTAAAAATGATTTTCATAAAAAATTATTTAAAATAATTTTAAAATTAAATGATTTTTTGAGTTTTTTATATTTAAAAAAGTTTCGATAAAATAATGAAATATCTAAAATAATATTTTAAAAATAAATATTTAAACTAAATTTTTATTTAAAGTTTTTATGAAAAAAAATTTGTAAACTTTTTTTACACAAAATTATATTATACTATAAATTCATTTTTAAAAAAGGCAAAACAAATGGTCCCTTATCTAATGAATGGTATATATCAGATTTATAAATTTAAATGTAATTCTCAAATTTTATAATTAAATCTTATCCAAAGGTATTTAATTAAAATTAATTTAAATTATAATCACAGATCAATTTATAAAATTTAAGAATTATATAAAATTGAATATTATTGAATATATTTACAATTTTTTTTTAGAAAATCGATAGAATCCATTATATTTTAGAATAAATATTCAAAATTCAATCAGAACATTTATATATATTTTAATATTTTTATTAATATATTATATTAATTTATTATTTGTTAACTTTTCTATTTTCTAATTCTACTTATTATTTTAATTTAATATTTTTATTATACTTTCATATGTTTCAAATATAATAATTTTTTACCAATCTATCTATTATAAGAATTTTAATTTGTTGAATGTTATGTTTTGCATCAAATATATTATATATATTAAAAATAAAATAAAATTGTATATAATTTTATCAAGATAAATAAATTCTTTTAATTGATTTAAACTGCTAATATTCTAACCTCAATCCAATAATTATTTTTACAGCAATCAATTGAATTATATTTATGAAATAATTTTCTATCAATATTATTATTGGATTTGATTTATTCTTTTAATAAGATGTAGAGGAAATTAAAATTTTATAATTAAAAAGGGAATTTTATGAAAAGGAAAAGTGAAAAGGCACGATCAAAACTTGATACCACTTTGAACAATTATAGAAAATATCAAAATTATTATTTTTACTTTTTTTAGCCAAGGAAAATATCATTTTAAGAGTGGGCATTAGTTAGTAAGCACTTTACTATAATTTTAATATTCAATAATTAAATTTAATAATTTTTTTTGGTTTAGTCAATCAATTTTAATTCACATATTGAATCGATTAATTTAATTTCGTAGTTCAGATAAATGACTCATTAATCAAGTCTTATTTTCAATGAAAATTGAACTCAAAATTTTAGAATTTTCTCAAATATAAGATTTATTTAAAAATATAAATATATTAGTATCTATTCACATCAATGAAAAAAAAATTTAAAAATTATTTTTTAGATAAGTTATTCAAAACATAACAAACAAATGAAAAAAACCTATAAAATCATTATTTTATTTAAAATATATATTTTTAAAAATTACAATATATATATATAATATATATATATATATATATATATATATATATATATATATATATATATATATATATATATATATATATATATATATATATATATATATATATATATATATATATATATATATATATATATATATATATATATATATATATATATATATATATATATATATATATATATATATATATATATATATATATATATATATATACTACAAGAAATATATTTCTCAACGAACGTGAAGTTGTGACGTGATTATCACGTGATTAAAAAAAAGCTGTTGCGACATGATAATCACTTTATTATAACTTTATATATAAAAAAATAAAAATAACGTTCACATGGAGGGATATTGGGTTTTTTTTTTAAATAAAATTATTTGCGACGTGAGATTCACGTCGCTATCAAAAAGTTAATATATAAAAAATAAAAGACTCTAACGTTCAGATGGAGGGATTTTAAAAAATTTAATTGTGACTTGTTTTTCACGTCGCAATATTTAAGGGAGAAAATATTTGTTTTTTACTTAACATGGTTCAGTATTGTGCAGATTGAACGAATAATTTTATGACCGTTAGATGTGTTGCGACGTGAAAATCACGTGGCAAGGTTGCGACGTGATTTTTACGTCGCTACGTGGTGTATATAGAAAACGTGTGCAGAGATCCATCCATATTTGTTTCTTCTTCTTTGACCCTTATGTTTCTTCTTCTTTGAAAAACTTCTCTTATGTTTCTTCTCAATCCTCCCGTCTTGCTTATATTTTCTCAAAAAAATTTTAAAGCTACAATTTTATTGATACTGGTAGTTGTATTATATAATTTAATTTTAATATATTGATATAATTTTGTTTATTATTTATTATATTTTCTAACACTAAATTTGGTTTAATTTGTTTTGTTAAAATTGGAGAATATTTAAGAGTCTAGAAAAAGATTGAAGAATAAGATGTTTGAAGGAGATTGAAGAAGAGGTATTTATGCAATTTTTATTTTTATTTTATTTTATATATAATTTAGATTTTATTTTGTTTTTAACATTATTATTATTTTTTATTCTGTTAATTTATAAACTATTTGAAATTTTTATACATAAAATTAAAAATAGTATTTTTTTTCATATATATAATTTAAAACAAAATTTTAAAAAACAGAATTTTAAAACAGTATTTTGTAAATATATAGATTAAACTTTTTTATGTATATTTTGTAAGAAAAATAAAACAGAATATAGTAAATTAAAGAAGCATTATTAA